GGACCTTGGCCTTCATCAAACTGGATGTAATCACCCTGCACTGGCCACTTGGGCGTGAGCCTTGCTGGGGCTCCATTGACAACAACAGAAATCCCCCTCCCGCTCGCTTCAGGCGCAATGAGGCTCTCGCACATGACATGCGGTGCAACTTGGGAGGCGTGGAGCGGGTGTCCTCCGGTCCGCTCGTCAACAACAATGGCAACTGTGCGGTCATGCACAGAGTTGCAAAGGAGGAATATGACCTCCTGTTGGTTGTCAACCGGTGCCGGCTGGCCAGCTGCCATCATGACATGAAATGGGCCTCCTACTGGGTATCCCTGGGCTATCACTTCCCTTATCAACCTTTCAAGGATGGCGTCGGCCTGATAGCATGGAGTTTGCACCACCGCACTGTGGGAGTGCGGGCCACAGAGCATTGTGAACCTGAAGGAGCTAGGAGGCTCGACTGGACTGGTGGACGTGGTGGAGGTGGTCGATGGACGCCCTTCCGTCGGCCAAAAGAACGGAGAGGGTAAGTCGTTCCATGGAGGCGGCAAGCCAATGCTTGCAAAACCTGAAAATGCTGGCTCAACAAGAAAGTGCTGCACCTCACTGAGTACCTGCGGAAGGACCTGTCCAACAATGCCAGTGGCGTCGAGGGCCGCATAATGTCCTGTCAGAAGGGCATCGCAGATTCCAGTGGCAGTTGCAGCAGGCAGCACTGGTCGGAGCCTTTCCACCGCGTCTTGCAAAGTTTCAGGTCGCCTCCAACCGGCCGTAAGTCCCATGGTATGGGGGCATGCCCGCTGGGCAGGTTCCTTTGATATAAGACAATTTGCGGCTGTGGCAGGCCCTGTGCGCCCTTCATCAATACCTGCACGGCGCCAACAGGGAATGGCGCTTCGAGCACCGCTGCGCGTATGATGGCAGGCAGCGTGCCTTCTCTGGGGCGTGGGCGGGTAGTGGCATGTCTCACAACATCAAAGATGGTGAAGGCATGGTTGGGCATGCCAGCTGCCGCGCCCCATGAGTAGACATCGACACTCTCCTGTTGAACACAGTCCTGCGCAAGAAAGCTAGGCAAGATGGACGGTGCTTCGCTGGACCAGTGCGTCCGTCCGATCTTGTCTTCGGCTGGTACAGGAGGACGCTGAAGCAAGGAGGGCGGATGAAGTTCAGGCGCGGGCACACCGAGAGGTGCATGGTCAAGGGTGCTGGCTGCAAGTTGCGCGGCGTGCATGGCTGTGGTAGTGGTGGTGGAGGTCGGCCATTCACGATGAGGGTGCTCGGCTGCTCGCAAGGCCTCTATGTCGGCCACAGTGGCGTGCCTGGGCGGCTCGATGGGCTGTGGCGGTCGAGGGACCCGGAAAGTCAGGGGCCCGCCACCTACATAGCGTACAGCAAAGTCAGGCAGCAGATCTGCCGCGACGTCTGATGAAATCAGCCATTGTTGCTCAGGCAGTTGCCTTGTGTGGTGCACAACGTGGCCGCTGTGATCGGCCAGGCTAAGCTGACCATCACGTGTGGCAGCTGCCAGAGTGCCGAGATTTTCGATGCCCTTCTCGTGCAGTGCCTCCCATAGTGCTGGGGTCTCCAAACCGCATTGGACCCTAACAACATGCAACATACCTTGAAGCGGGCGTAAGTCGACCGGCAGGGTCCGGTGCCCGAGTGGCAGGCCAGCAGGGGTAAGGAGAATCTGCGGGCACGGGTATCCGAGCAAAGGCACTTCAAGAAAGAAGGCCCTATGCACACGGTATGATACCTGTCTGATTGCATGAGCCACATACTCAAGCGGGGTCCAGGAAGGCATGGACCGACGGACAATGGTATCACTGCGGTAGTCAAGGATCGTGTAGCGGGTGTCGGAGTCACCGTCAGCAGGCTCGAGCTGCAGACGAACAAGGCTCCTGGCATCTGCATTTAGAAAGGGTCCTGCTAACCACTCAGGTCCGATTTGGACCTGTGCCGCAAAGATCATGTGCAGGTCAGTGACTGCGCTGGCCTTAGGCATGGTACGCGCGGTCGGCACGCCAAGGGCCGGTAGAGCTGGCACGGTGGCCGGCATAGGGTGAGTGCCAAGGCTCGACAAGGAACCGACCTTGTAGCACTCCTCTGCACATGGAGCAGTGCCAGCAACAGGCTGCACATGCTGAATGCGTTGGGCTTCTGCAGCTGCATGGGAAACCTCACGGGCATTGGAAGCACCGGAGGGAGGACAGCACAAAGGGTTTCCTGAGGAGGTCAGCAGGGTGGGCATGGCCTTGGTAGGGCCAAAGTATGGTGATGGGCTGTCCTCAGGAGAAGGTAGTGCGGTGCACGCAACGGGCGGCACACGCAAAGGCTGTCGGAGGTGAGGGAATGGCTGCCAGCAGTGGTCGAGGAAACGGGAGACAAGCCGGTTGACCTGTGCCTGCACCGGTTCGTCGGCAAAGTGGGCCTTGCGCCTGAGGCTGTGATCCCCATAGCCGTGTGTCTGCGCCCTACATGGAAAACAGGCCGATTCGGCGCTGAGCTCAGCGAAAATTTTCTGATGCCCGCTCGGGGCAAATGACCCTTCCGCATCAGGCTCGACAGCTAGCTGTTGCACCATGCGCTGAGCTGGAATCCGGAAGTCAGGGTCAAGTGCACCTCTGTGGCCCCAGAAAAAGTCCGCTAGATCAGCGCAACCGGCCGCCTGAGGAAAATTCCTAGCGACGTCCTTCTGTACACATACGAACCGAGGAAGATGAAGCCCACAAACATCTTTCACCGAACGCAGCGCCTTGTCATACTCAGTGGGCACGATCCATGCTCCTGGCTGTGGGTCCTCGCGAGGGTCTTCCCAGATGGTATGTGCCTGTGCCACATCCATGTCGAACATGGCAACCTCTAGTAGTTGCCGCATGTAGCCCAGAAGCTTGGCCGAGCCTGGCCCTATAAAACTGTCTTCGTGATCAACCGAGTGGACCCCATAGTCCACCCAGGAAACGCCGATCGGCTCGCACATAACCCGCGGGCTTATGTACGAGCCCCACCAGGGACTTGCGAAGGTTCCGGCGGCTTGCCACCACCTTTGGCAGCGACGTCGTGAGGTTGCGGGGTATTTTTGTCCCCCGCGCCTGCTGCAGACTCTGGCGTGACACCCCTTCTGGGTGTGCGAGAGCCTTCTCGGTGCTTGCTCATGAGCTCCGCCGCTGTACTCTTGAGATCTCCAAGTGCAGTGGCAAGCTTCTGTGTTGACTGTCGGGTCTCCGTTGTCGCCGACCGTAGCTTGGCTTCCGTATCGATAGCCATGTCCACTGAGGCCTCGGCATCCTCGAAGTCCCGTTCCGAGTCCTCCGAGGCATCCTTTTCCTTGTTGGTGAGCTTCGACAGGTTCTGGGTGGCCTGCTGCTCTGCAGACGTCCATTGTATCTCTGCCTGATCGAGGTCCTCGAGGATCTGGGTCTGCTCGCTGATCTGTTGTTCCAGTAGCTCGGCTAGCTGCGAAACGTACTGGTGCCAAGCAGCCAAATACACTGAGCGTTGCTGTTGCACTCGACCGAGGGCCTGACGGGCCTTGGATTGAGCTGCAACGGCCCTGTGCATCGCCCGTGTGGCGTCCTGGTCGCTGCTGGCCCTCATGGCTGTCACCATTTGTTGAGCAGCCGGTGGCAAAGCAGTTGACGAGGCAGCAAGCGCGCCCAATAGTGCATCCAGTTGCGCCTTGGCTTGCGACTGGACCTCCGGCTCTTGCTTCTTGGGCAGGGGAAGCTGCGGCGCGGCGGGTGCCGGCGGCAGACCTTCCATGCTGGGCGGCTTGGGCACCGTGTCCTGGCTCCCTGCCGCCTTTCCGTTGCCCTTCCCTTTGCTGTCGGCTCCACCTCGGCTCTTGCCACGTCGTCTCGGCGACGGGGTGCGTGGCCGCGGCGTCTGATCTTCGTCCCAGGCATCTTGCTGTCCACGCCAAGGTACCTGCGGGGAAGGCCTCCAATACTCGGAGTGCTGTCGAGTCTTGGACCAGTGCTTTCCACACCCGCCGCAAAAGTCCTGGTTCCCGCGGTTCTGCCGGGAACAGGTACATTGCCAGGCTGGAGCTTTGGTTTTTGCAGGCCTCATCGCGCTGTGGTGGTTGGCCAACAGCACTTTGGCTCGTCTCAGCAGCTGTGTGTGGGGTTGAATCCAACCACTTGCAGCTGCTCGCAAAACTGTTCTGGCTTTGGTTCTCCTTTTCCTGCACCGGCGGTGCCATGCAGGCTCTCCGGGAATCGCGGCACAGGATGTGGCTGCACTCGGCAGCTTCCACGTGTAGAAAAACCCAAATCCAGAAGAAAAGGCTGGCTTTCATATAGCCGCAAGACACCTCGCAAAGGCGTACAGTGTCAATCCCACACTCCAGTCACCAAGTGAGGAGCAGGGAGATCTTGTTGTTCGCGGGCACCCCTAACCACGGGGCCGCGCTGGGGTTGTGGCGAGGCTGAACGGACCCTAGGGAAACTGCGTTCAGCTCGGACCATAACGCCTGAGTTCAGGGGTTTAGGGTTTAGGCCTTTGGCGTTTCAGGGTGTAGGGTTTCATGCACTATCCCTGCCGCCAAAGACCGAGCAAAGTCAGGATTGAGAGAATCAAGAGACTGAACCAACGGTATAAAGGCTTTCCATAGAACAATCCCTACGAAAATCTCATTATTCAACCCTAGAGAAACCCCCGCAAAAAAAAAACAACATCTCTAAACCAGCCAGCCCACGTCATCTTGTTGCCTTGCCGCAATCAGTCAACGAGCTCGAAAAACATAGCTCCCAGGCGCCAAGCACAAAGAGCACTGCGAAGGAAGGACGTCAACGAAGATTTCAGACCATAAACTGAAGAAAAACATCGAAACATAGACACCAGCACCACCACCAGCAGGACAACAACACACTCTCTCTCTCTCTCTCTCTCTCTCTCTCTCTCTCTCTCTCTCTCTCTCTCTCTCTCTCTCTCTCTCTCTCTCTAAACCCTAAAGCCTAAACCTGAAATCCTTGATATTATGGTAATCAGCAAGTCATGCCCAAGTTATCCTTGGGGTTGTTCCGCCTCTCCACGCCCAGCTTGGCGAGCCACAGGGACATCACTACCTGATGATGCTGCTGGGATTTTACTATATAGTGTTTTCGCTTTTTGATAGTAAGCTTGCTTTTAACTTCACAGGCTTAATATGACTCAAGAGAAATTGGATAAAGACCTGTGTGTTTTCGCGAGGTCTTGTGAAACTCTGGGTATTCGAAGCTTCAGCGACATGATCCCGGAACCCTAATTAAGCCCCAAACCCGATTAGGTCTTTAGTTAGGCTTCGGAGCCTCTCGAGGGCCTTTCATGCCTTCATCTGAACAGTGTTTTGAATGGCAGATTCTAGAAATATGTAATGCTAAAGGCAACCAGGAATGACCAAGATAATAATCATGACAAGGAAGCCCAAGGAATATATTACACACCTGCTGCGTTGCATAAGCCCATGAAGATCGATGCATAGCTTGTGTGTCTTGCAAATGCAACCCGCCCGTCAAGTAAGTTAGCTCCAACCACAGCCCTAAGCCCTCAACTCCGAAACCAACAACTCTGAACCTTGAGACCCAAGTAGAAATCCTTGAAAACCCTGCAAAGCTGCCCCATCACAGAGCCCGAAACCTTTGAACCCTAAGCCCCTGCCCCCCCCCCCCCCCACCCCCCCGCCCGCCAAAACAAGCAACAGTGAGCCCCCGACACCACTCCAAGCAGAGCTCAAAGCCCTGCCCTAAATCCCTTGAACCCGAAAGTCTGAGTTCTAAACTCGAAAACCAAAATCTTCGGTTTCACGAGGGAGCCTGAGGGGAACTTGCAAACCTCAGAAAGCCTGAATTCTTGTAACCTTTGGAGACCGTCATGCTAGAAAATGGCTCCGCTACGGGTTCTTGCGAAGGCTGGCAGAAGGGCTCCATGATGTAGGGGCTTTCATGATCAAAGCAGGGTTCGGAGCCAGGGTAGAGTATCCATGAGTTATATCAAGTAGCCTCAGGAATAGTGTTGGTAGGTACTCCGTCTTCTTTATTCAGTTTTGGGCTGAAGCATCGAAAGCTGAGGGCCAGAAACCTAAACCCGTAAACCATCAACTAAAAGACGAATGATACCCTAGGTTTATGATCTAGGGTTTAGGGGTTTAGCGTCTAGGGTTTAGGGTATAAGGAAACCATGATGAGAAACCCTTAGAACAGGCTTGTGGCTGGAGGAAAGCCCGAAACCCTCAATCCTAAACCTTTGAAGCTATGCAAACTGGCCGCCACCAGGGAGAGGAAGAGGACGAGGTTCAGGATCATCCTTGGGTTCAAGGGGTTTCAGAATCCCTAAACCCTGAACCCTCCCTAAACCCTAAATGGAACCCTGAACCTCCTCAACCCAAACCCTAAACCCTAAATCCTGTTCCCCTAACTACCCCCTAAACCCTAAATCTTAGACCCTAAACCCCAAACCTCATCATCCTAAGACGTAGGTGGGGTTTAGAGTCCCGAAACCTCCCAGCCTGAACTCTTCTTTTAAACCCTTTTCGTTTCAGAGTCCAGAAACCCTATGTACACCCTGAGCATTTTGCTTTGGCGCAGAATCGTTCTTGGATGCAGGATTGTCAGGATCCTCCGTTTGGATGTCACATCTGTTAGATACTCAGGACCATTCTTGGGCCAAGTCTCTGAGAGTTGCTATTTGCCTGGGGCTAGGCTTCTAAAGCAACTTGGCATTGTTTTTGTTGCTTGGACGTCTCGGAATTGCTTGCTTTGATGTGTCAGGTTAAGAGGTCACGAGTTTTGCTGCGTGTCTTCATATAGGAGCGAAAATAATTGGAATTGGGTTTTTGTGGCCCGCTATACTATAATTATGATAAGGAACCCCCAAAACAGTTTATGTAAATATTACGGCCCCTGTATTAAGGATCTTCTCGTTTTGGTTGCAACGCTAGTGAGTTTGGTTTGGCTTTTGGTTGGAAGGGTTCACTTATGATTAGGACCAAACCCCATACCCTGAACCCTTCAAACCCTACACCCGAAACCCTAAAGCCCTAAAATCCTAAACCCTATAGTACCCTTGAAAATCCCTTATAGGAACTCTTATAGCTCCTTTAAAGGAACCCCTAAACCCCTCAGCTTGTGAACCCCAAGCCGAACCTTAAACCGCAAACCTCTGATGGCATTGAACCCCGAGGACAAGCCTCGATCCAATGCCAAATAGCAATCTCCTCATCGCCTCTTCTAATGATGCTGAAAGTATATAACTCTTACAGTAGGCTTCATATTCAGCCTTATAGTTAGCTTTACAGTAACCCTTACAGTAACTGTGGCAGTAACCCATATAGTAAGCTTTGTAGTACCCCCTTACAGCAACCCTTTCTGCTTTGAAGCTTTGAGATTTAGAATTTAGGGCCCTAATATAGGGGCCTCAAGACTAGAATAGGGTTTTGAGGTACTTATACTGCAATCACAACAAGGAGCCCAAAAATAGTATCGGTAATTATTGAGGCCCCTATAGTAGTGCTTCTGGGGCTTGAAGCTGTGAAACTTCGAGGGTTGGGGTTTACGGGTTCAGCGTGGGTGTGCAGGGTTTAGGCTGTATAGGGGATTTAGAGTTTGAGGGGTTCAGCCTCAACCCCCGAAACCGCAAACCGAGCCTTCACCCGAAGACCTGAAGACTACACTCAACCCAAATCCCCGACCCTGGACCCTAAACCCTGCACACTAGACCCTAAACCCTAAACACTAGACCCTAAACCCTAAACAATAAACCCTAAACTATAGACCCCATACCCTAAACATCAGACCCTAAACCCTAAACTGCCCTAAACATTAGACCCCAAACAGTAGACCCTAAACCCTAAACCCTTAAACCCTGGACCCCAAACCCCAAACCCTCAACCCTCAATCCCAACTTTTTTAGCCGTCTGCCAAGCGTCAGGTGCTCTGCGCAGTGCTCGCAGGAATCCTGCAGCGGTAGTCGACTGCGAACATACCCAGGAAGGCAGCTAAGGCACCTCGGCTTCTGCGGGTTCAGGGCCAATTACTCGGGTTAGGGTTCAGGGTTTAGGGTTCAGGGTTTAGGGTTTAGGGGTGCAGGGCTTAGCGTTTAGGGGTTTAGGGGCTTAGGGGTTTAGGATTGCGGGTTATTCATAAGTGCGCACAAGCCCGAAGCGCTGGAAGCCTCTCCTCAGCGCGCACCTTCCCGTCCAGAAAGGTCTAGTCCACGCTCCTAAATGCAAATCGTACATGGGGGCCATACGATTAAAGTCCCTGTAAGGAATAGCGTTGCTCTTTTGCGGCCAGAGGGTTAACCCTTGTAATTTATAGCAGGTTTCTCGTAGGGTTTATAAAACCAAAACACAATTCTGCTAGATTCTGTACACCCCAGGCAGTTTCTGAGAAACCCCCAACCCTAAACCCAAAACCCTAACTTCAGACTCCTGACAGGGCACTGGACACCGGTAGAACCCTCGGCGCAGGTTGCATTCGCCAAGCAGGCATCAGGGACCTGAGCAGCCGGCTTTTAAGGGATTTCGCATCTAGGCTTAGTATAGAGGCCTTATCAGTTATAACACGGGTATATCTTTCATACTTATGCGGGGCTTAGTATAGGGGCCTTAACACTTCTAAGAATGGTATATTCTTTTTTTCTTACGTGGGACTATTAGGGCTAATTCTGATGTGGTTCGAGCTCTGGTGCTTCAGAGCTTCCCGGGCCTCGGTGGTTTAAGGTTTTTCAGGTTTAGGGTTTGGGGCGTAGGGCTTTGGAGCTGTGGCCCTAAACCATAAAACCTAAACCCAAAAGCAGTCGCAGTCGCAGTGGCAGTCGCAGTAGAAGTAGCGGCAATCGTGGTAGCATTCGTCGTACTAGTTAGTAGTCGTCGTCGTAGTCGTAGTCGTAGCGGTAGTAGCAGTAGTAGCAGTAGTAGCAGTAGTAGTGGTAGTCGTAGTACTACTAGTAGTAGTAGTAGTAGTAGTAGTAGTAGTAGTAGGAGTAGTAGTAGCAGTAGTAGTAGTAGTAGTAGTAGTACTACTACTACTACTAGTAGTAGCCATGCGCGCCTCCTGGCGCCTGGTGTTTTCCTCTGTTTTCAAGCGTTTCGGTGAAGTTTTGGGTGGGTGGGTGGGGGGGTTAATAACGACATGGTCGACCGCAATGGTCTTCTTGTTGCCAAAAACACTGGCAATGCCGGTACTTTGTAGCGTTTTACGGGGGCTTTTGTTCGACTGGGAGGGGAGGGCATGGTGGGGGTGTCAATCACGACATGCTTCACCGCAATTTTTGCCGGTTTCGCAATCCCCACGGTGTGGCTCGATTTTCGTGTGTTTTCGAAGGATTTTCTTCCACTGGTGCGGGGGGGTCGGACTGAGGGGGGGGCCCGCACAGTGGCTCGATGTTCGTGTGTTGGCAGTAGCAGTAGCAGTGGCAGTAGCAGTACCAGCACCAGTGGCACTAATAGTGCAGCAGCGGCAGTAGCAGTCGCACTAACACCAGTAGCAGTACCAGGACCAGTGCCACTGGCACTAATAGTAGCACTAGTGGCCGTAGTCCTCAGTCCTCAGTCCTACTAGTGGCTTCCAATAACATGCACATCGTTGTCATTCTCAGCATCATCATCATCATCGTCATCATCATCAGTAGCACCACTAGCATCATCATCGTCATCGTGTAATTATTAGTAAACCAAAGTAGCTTTTGAAAACGTAACTGAACTGCAATTCTCACAAAACCTGTAAAAACCGATGCTATTGACCCTCTAACACCTGCAAACTACCAGGCGCCAGGAGGCGCGCAAGCCTAGTAGTAGTAGTAGTAGTAGTAGCAGCAGCAGCATTAATAGTCGTAGTCGTCGTCGTCGTCGCAATCGTAGTCGTTGTCTTCGTCGTCATCGCAATTGTCGTCGTCGTCGTCGTTACAATGTCGTCACTGTCGGCGTAGTACTACTACCACTACTACTACTACCACCACCACCACCACCACTACCACCACCACTACCAGAAGCACAACCGCTACGTACTACTAGTGGTGAAAGTTTCTAAACCACAAGCCGCAATAGTACCGCAATAGCTAAAGACCACAAAGCCTTCTGTAAAGACCGGCGAAAGCCGTTCCCTCTATCAGCTGGGAGGCTAGACAGGCCTCCCAGCTAACATGGCTTCCCACCTGAGCAGAGGCGTAGTGCGTAGGGTGGTTTGGGCTGAAACTTCGGAGCTTCGCGTGCAGGGTTTATGGGAAAATAATGTGTGCTTAGTGATTGTAACAGTGCTACAGTGCCTAGGGGTTTGGGTTTAGCGTATAGGGTTTAGGGCTTCAAGTCAGAAACTTATGGCCCTATGGCGAGTTGCAGTGTTATCTCTCCCTCCAGCCGATGCCCTGTACATTGGATCTAAGTCTAGACCGTAAATGCGATAAAACCTCAATACCAGGCTCCTTCTTACATGCACTCTCAGAAGAAGCTCATCATGTTCTGAAGACCCCCACATGGAATCGTGACCGAAGGCCAAGCGTAAATCCCAAATACCCAGAAATTGAACAACGGTTCATGTCAGGAATTTGCCTGGAATCATATTATGGGTTCCTCAGGAATTAAGGGAATTCAGCAGCAGGGAACTTTAGGCTACATTGCTGAACAAAATCAAGTGTTTTGAATCTCTGCGAACCCTCAACCCTCAACCCTAAACCCTCAACCCTAAACCCTGAACCCCAATCCCAAAGCCCTGAACCTGTGAAGCCGGAACCCGCAGCCGGAAACCCCCACCTTCCGAATCCAGAAGCCAGCGCGGTTCAGGGCGATGGCCATGCCCGTGCCGCTCATCTCGGCCCCCTCCTTCATTGCTTGAAGGTGTGAGGTTGTGGTTTAGCGCTTGGTTAAGGCTTAGGGTCGTGGTTTAGGGTTTTGAGCTTAGGGTTTATAGGGTTCAGGGGGCTGCAAAGTTTAGAGTTTAGTCTGATTCCGGGTTTAGGGGATTTTCAGTGGCTTCGGTGGGAGTGCTCTAGGGCTGAGCTTTGGGTTTAACCTAGGGGCCTTGAATAATTAGAATAGGGTTTTGGGCTCATGTATAGCATTACTTTAGGAAGGAAAAATCATCTAGGCCTCTATGTTTATGTAAATGGAGCCCTCTAGTCTTGAATTCCCTCCACCTTCTGCGCTCTACTGCGCAAGCCGAACCGTAAAGCTTAAAACGTTCCCGCAAAATCCTCCACGATTCAATGCAACCTGTCCTGGGCCGGCAGGCACACGCTGGAGTTGCGAAGGTGCCTCAGAGGCCGTTGTGCATAGATAGTGCGTCACCCTCAAAACGATCAAAGTCTTAACCCTGCCTCCCGTTACATTCTACCTACCCCTTAAATTTCAGAGTGGTGCCGCACTAGTTCAAAAGCTTACCCAGAGGATCCATATGTACTCCTACTATGGGTTTAGGTCCCCAAACCCATTATTAGGATGGTCTTTTGGTGCCTAGTTCCATAATGGTAGTGCATATGGACCCTCTTGGTAATATACCCCCCAAACCCTATAGCATATTGGGCCTCTTTATTACCTATACTATTTTGGGGGACGCCCCTCTCGGTTAACGAGAGCCCAGCTGAATTAGCCGAGGCGACTGGTAAGTCATTGGAGGACAGAGATCGCAGCTGCTTCCATCCCAGCTGCTGCGCGATCCCGCCTCGCAGATAAGGCCTGAGCCATTCGATGCTTCGGGCATAGAGTACAGAGTTTACCTCAACCTACCAAAACCTAAATTTTCGTAGGTTCTCACGATCAACCCTTATGTAGGTTCTACAGGGACCCTACACAAAAAGTAGTTTTTGGTGGGGAAAGGTAGGTGTAGTTCAGCCTTCAGGAGAGTTTCGGAGGTTAGGTCAGCGGTGTGGCGTTCAGGACTTGGGTCTCAGGCTCTGAGGCTGTAGGGCCAGATTTAGGTTTATAGGGTTTAGAGTTTAGGGTTTAGGGCTTAGGGCTTAGGGTATATCTAGAGCTAAACTGTTCAGTGCTTCGATTACTGTGCTGTCCACCCCGATAACAACACTCTAAGGCCTACACCAGAGAGTGTCTTCTAGTCTGCTCAGTACATACTCCGATATGTTGGTTGCCACTACATTTCTATGTACATATATGCGCATAAACAGATGTATAGATGCATGTGTGTATATTAACTAACATGACACATATGCTGTTCTTCTTCTTTATGTTAATCATACTAGTTCCCTGAATGCTGGGAGAGGCACAAGCAGTGAGGCCTTCCGCCGGTGCGTGGCTGCCGCCGGGGCCTCGCATATCGGCTGCGGCTTCTTTAAATTCGAAACCTGAATTTAGGGTTTCAGGATTTAGGGTTTTAAGGGTTTAGGGTTTTAAGGCTCTGGGGTTTTAGGGTTTCGGGTTTTAGGGCTTTAGGGTTTTACATTTTTAAGGTTTAGGCATTGAAGGTTTACGATTCGTGGGGTTTAGGGCTTGGGAGTACCTGTTGCACCGCTGCACCAAATCCGACAAACTAGTAGCTTCTGACTCCCGAGTTATGGCGTCTATACCCTGAACTAAAAGAAGGGCCTGGAAAATTATCAATGCTGTTCCTTGTGATAAGTAAGATCGGCGAGAGAAAACAATCCCATCCCGTCACCCAAACCTTGGATCCCATCATCAAAGGAACCCATTTCCAGGTACCAGTGCCACTACATTCCTATGTTCTTGAATCGACCAGTAAAACCCTGCGACAGTGGGTTGCTCTAAGGGGCTGGCTAAAGCGGCCTTCGGAATGATGCTACGGCTTGGAGTTCAGGGCTTAGGGTCTTGTTTCGTACGATAGTCATCTAACTAGTAGGGGGTGTCAGGGTGGAACATTACTATTTACTGGTGGTTCCGATTTCTTCTTTCAGACACTCCCCTAAACCAAGATGGAACGGGATCTTAGTAGACTTCTTGCGTTAGAGACTGGGGGGATCCATGTTGCGGTGGGACTGTATAGAGATATTAACGATGTGACACAGTAGCATGAACTTTCAAGGGCACCAGAATCACCAGGACTTTAAATCCAAAGCCGTGCACGAAAAGCACCAAAAGCGCGATCACATTCCCACAAACCGTTGGACCCCAAGCTGCGTACCTCGCACACACCTACGGCCGTGGACCCAACAACTTTCTAGACTGAAAGAGACTCACCTAGGTTCCCCAATGCCCCCTTGCAAAGGACACTGCTTGTTGTTTAGTCTTCACTTTGAACCGCAAGGAGACCTCCCATAAAGGATACTCCTAACTGCTAAGAAAACCTCGTCTACAAGCCCATTACACCACTCTCGACCCGCTACACGAATCCAGGACGAATGTAGGGGCCTTAATTATAAGAACAGGGTTTAGTGCTCATTTATAGTATCACTACAATAGTGTAACCCGAAGAAATAATCTTGGCGGCTTCTATATTAACCCCATTACGGCCCCTATATCATGGAACCCTACAATAGATTCCTTATAGAGCCCTCTAAGGAACCCCCAAAATAGTATACGTAGTGAATTA